AACACTGCCCTTACATTGTGCAGCTTTACAATAGAGAAGTAGTCCTTCTGGTTTATGAGCAACAAAGATTGAAAACTGCATTCATATGAAAAAAAGGATATGAAAACTAAAAACATAAGCTTTTTCTCTCAAAATGCTCCAGTCAAAAATTCTACTGATTTACAACAAACACCAAGAGTTAAATCACTAATCCTGGTAGCATTATTTTGTGGTACAAATGTTCTAACCGTGCTCACTTTACATAGTGTAATCACTATACATTTTCATTGATCCTGAAAACAACATTGGGTGGGAATGAAAAAAGTAAATTTGAAATATATTTACTGCCTCAGAAAGAAAACAGTTTATGCAAACCTATTTCTAGAACTGGTAAATCCATTTCGATTAAGTAATAAATATCATAGCTACAATATTAGCAGTATTAGTGACAGTCTCTAATTTTCAGAGACATATTTATCATAATAATAGTTCTCACCTAACTGAAAAGGAAGTTGTGAGGATTCATTAATATTTATACCCATTAGTGTTTTCGAAATAACAAGAGTTATATTATTTTAATTTTTACATGACTAATTAAAGCAGTCTGAGGTTGTAATTGGAGCCATAAGCATAAAACCTGTTAGTTCCATATAACAATCAGACTTCGACAAAGAGTAAAAAATAGTAACAAGAACAACAATAATATGCTACTTCCTAGAAATAATGCTTTTTTGCTTCATTCATAGTCTAAATACAAAGTCCAGGGTTTGGACTGTGTCTTTTTGAGGTTTCTTTGGTCCCACCACTCCCATGAGATCTATGGCAACAGGCAGGGAGGAAAGATACATGAAATACATAAAGTACGCAAAAAAAAAAAAAAAAAAAAGTTGGGCCTATTCTAATTACAACGATGATTAATTCTTTGCAGCTTTCAGCATTATAAAAATTCATTCCTTTAACTGCAAAATAGGTAATAGCGTCTGTTGTATCAGCTATAAAAGTCTCTAAGCCCTAATTGTTGTTCAGAAGACTTAGCAGTTTGGTCTGTATTAATCAGCCAGGATTTCCTGTGAGTAATTGCTCTTAACTAGCTCAAACACAGTAATAGACTGGTAAATTGGAAATGAAGAACAAATAGCTTTAAGAAGAATCTTGGCCACTTTATTTCCACTCTTGCATTGCGACGACAGCTATTCATAATAAAGGCAATTAAATATTCTCTATTTAATGTCTCACCATGTCACTCAAGAAAATCACTTTTCTTCTCATTAACTCTCCTCTGTTTCTTTTATCCCCATTACACAAACTCCACCGGTTAACTCTGACTACCACAGAAAGCTACACAAGCCTGTGGGGTTCGGTTACTCATCATTATTCTTACCCCATCACTTTCACAGTCGCAGAAATGGTACAGAATTTAAGAGATGGTTTGTCACTTGTCTATTTAGGAAAACGCTTTTGGAGACCACAGAGTCCCACAAACGTGATTCCAGCCCAAACACCACAGAGACGTCCGTGCCCCCCTGGGGTGCGTGCAGGGAGCACGGAGCTCGTCCAGCAACACTGGTGGAGCCGTGTGCCGGGCAAGGGTGGCTTTGACCTGACAGCACCAGAGACACCCGTGACTCTCTGCACCCTTTCTGCTGAGGTGCTGTGGCTAATCCTCAATTTGCTTATGCATTTTGGGTTTACTGAACTCTACAGCCAGAGCCCCACACACTTGTTTTGGTGAAGAATGATTTGAAATCAGTTTCTCGATGGGTGCATTTATTCCCCAATGTTTTCCCAAAACTTCGCTGTGTGGTTTCAGCCTCAGGTTTGACCTTGCTCTCGTGTAAAGAAACAAAAAACAAACAAACAACAGAAAAATTGCAAGAGTATTTTAAAGACAAAGAAGCCTGGCACCTTCCCTATGACCTTTCCAGAAAAAGAACAAATCTTCTGTGTTCAAGGTTAGAAAAGCTCCTTATTAGCACAAGGCTTACCGAGAATATTGCTGCCTGAAAGATTAAACTTCTGTAAATATAAGCACTTCAAAAAAGCATTTAGAATGAAACCTGACAGCCTGACTAGCCACAATGTACTCACACCAGTCTCACAACTGCCTGCCAAGCTTCTTGGGAGAAATACATTTTAAGGATCATGCTTTAATTCGTCATCCCCTAAAATGATGAAGTGATACAACAGGAAAACACACATTAGTTGCATCAATATCTTTGCAAAATAGTTGTCTGCCAGTTCAGGGATGTGTTATTCCAGTGTGGGTGGTCAGTGCTGTTACCCAGACCAACAGAGAGCAGATGCTTCTGTGTAAATAAAAAGAAAAACCTAAGAAGAAAGCTATTACTGGTAGGAAATGACTTTGTAGCATTTTTCTTAAAAATATTTCACTTAATTGGAGTGACACAGTATGCTTTTTTATTTTGATTTTATTCCTACCTGGTATTAAAAATAGAGGCTGAATCAATTCATATTAGAATTCAGATAAATGATCAATTCATGTGATGCATATTGAGATACATATATGTAAATGCAGCACAACTCTATAGTGTAAAAAAGATTAAAACACCTGTACTCAAAAAATTAAAAGGCAGCATGTCACATTTTTAAATGGCAAAAAACAAAGCAAAACTTTCTGACACCTGTAAAATAAGTACACAGTAGTTTCAAGAAGTTTCTTGTTTGAAAGTATTTGTAGAATTAAACTTTAAACAAACTTCCTTTGCCAATACATTTCCTGAAAATTCCTTTTGACTTTGCAACAAGGACAACTGCCCAAGGCTTTGCTAATCAATTTCTTGTGTTGCAGAAAACAGTATAATTTGAATTTTATCCAAGAATCCAGTTTGAAATGGAGAGAATGTGAAAAGCTAACCAATATGCAATTATTTGTAGCCACAGTCTGCATACCAAGTGAGAAAAAAGCTGGATAAGTAATTTAACAGTTATTGCAACTTTAATAAACAAAGAGCCACCCATTATGGCTTAATGATTCAATATTCAAGAGTGAATCTTACTAGTCCTCCATTACTATCCTTCTTCAAAAAATGTTTCTTTTTATCCTTTATGAGTATAGATCTTAAAGGAAAACAGAGGAGGTTTAGTTTAGTTTAGTTTCAGAAGACTATTTCAGGAACTCTTGCTATTATAAACTCATATATGAATACTTGAACAATTTGCAATGCTGTCTTACACCAAACATATTTCGTAACCTGAAATCTTTCCAAAGGTCATGTTTCCAGCTTGACACCTTGGGTTTTGCTTTTTGGAAGAAGACATGGTGTGAGGAAGGGAGCACCTGGCTGTGTGCTGCTCTCTCTCTTCTCCAGCCTGGCATCTTAAGCACCACAAACTCAGTGTTTTGCCTGTACCTCAAGCCCACCGATCTGCAGGCAGGGACGTGCAGAGAGGAGGATGCAGAGGAAGCACAACCAGCCCATCCCTCTCCATCCCTATCCTCCTCCTCCTCCACTGCCTACATGAAGCATTCCTCCTCAGGCTGAACACAAAGCCTGGCCTGCAACCCCCCCCATAACTTTGCTTCTTGCAGATCTTCTGAGCGTACAGTCCTTTCAGTGGATAAAGTTTGGGAATAAAATGTGAATTTCTTACTACTGCTTTTTAGGAATTATTTTTTTTCTCTCATTATAATTTTGTCTTTAAAAACATTTTCCTCTCATTCTCAGAGGAACTGAGGAAGCCCTTTCTCCTCAGTGCTCTTCCAGCTTGCCCAATGCATCTGAGCAGTGTTGGCAAAGGGCTTCCACAGCCAAAGGCTTATGTCCACTAAAGGAACTGAATTTTACAAAACACCTCTAGCACACAAGGCAGGGGAGATTTTAGGCGGAGGCTTTGCTTGCTCAGTGGCCATTAAGCTGTTTTCCCCATATTTAGATTTAACTTAACATTCCATATCCACCTCTGTCTAGAATTCTGCTAAGCTTCAGATAAATGAAGTTGCACCAGAAATGATTTCCCAGCAAAAAAGTCTTTAGAAATTACCCCTAAAGTTTCTGATACATTTTTATTTGAACTTTTTCTAGCACCAGACATGGTTCCCCTGGCTTTTATGCCACTGTGAGTCAGGAATAACTCCAAAGATGACAGCAGAGAAATCAGATGAGCAACAGAGCCACAACCTCTACTACCTCAAGGACCAACAAATTTCCTTTGGTTAGCAGCTGAAACTAGATTTAATTTATGGAAGAAGAATTACAGTTGCTGGTGAATGAATTATTTTCTTTTTGAGGAATTGGTGCAATTCTAGATTATGGAAAGAAAATGTATAGGGCTTATAGTTTATCCAAGTAGTACAGCATAGCTATCATTCAAACATCTCATGTCTTATACCAGCAGAATTTAAAAAGAAAATAAATATAATTCATGCCAAAGAACTGCTTCCCATGTGTTTGATTCTATAGTCATCATTTAAAAATGACTCATTACGCTCTTCTCTTTTGAAGTTTGGTAGAAAATCCACCCTAATCTAAAACTTAGTAGTAACCCAATGGTGATTTCTTACGAATGATTTATACCTAGCCCTCTGAAGAAAAGGATTTATAATGAAAGTGATAGCTCAGCCCTAACTGCAGCACCGGGAACGGTGACACCATAATTAATGTATTATTTCAGTTGTGGGAGACAGTGACAGTTGCTTTTTGTTCTGGGGAAGAAATTTATAGTGTGAGTGAAAAAGGCACCATGGAAAAAAATTTCACAGAAGAGAATAGAAATCCTTGTATCAAAGACATGTCCTTACAATCACCCTCCCAAAGACTATAAAATCCTGGCAAATGACAGTGTTTCCTCTGTGGTGTAATTTATACCTTTCTCCTCTACTAGATGGCAGTATGACATGCTTTCAGAATATCCGAGGGGTTTTCTTTCTTTGTTTCATAGGAAGCAATTAATTTAAAATATCATCTTACTGGCATAGAAGTGTAAAAAAAAAAAAAAAAAAAAGAAAAAAAAAAGAAGCTCACCACTGGCTGTGTATTTTGAAATCAAATCTATTTACTTACTGGTTCAACATTAAAGGCAAAAAGTGCATATTCCCGGTCAGGTGATACTTCATATCGAATAGCTTTTAAGGAGACCTAGAAAATAAATCAAACATTGAAATAAATATTTTTCCATTTTCAAGCCTATGACACTGAGAACTAATTATTATTACTATCTTCCTAACAATAAAGAATACTGCCAGAATAAGTATCTTGAAAGATAATACATCACATCTCTTTTTGAAACCCAGAAATGTTATGTGGGCACATACATGCTCCCATAAGCATTCTGATTCAGAGCAGACAGCTCTCCCAATTAAGACAACACTGAGGAAAATTATCCTATTTTCCCCACTTAAAAAATTATTTGGGATGCTGTGGTGATACAACTTTCCAGGTGCACTCTGATCTGGGTTCTGCAAAAAGCTGCCCTGCAAGTCTTATCAACAAGAAGAGATGCCAAAATATCTTAAGTCTTGTCAGGAATTACCTTTTCCCTGTTCCACATACAATTTGTACAGTGCAGACAATTCTCCTTTCCAGTGTGCTTCAGTATAATACATTGCTGGCACACTTGGAGCCAAGGTCAAAGAGAGGTGCCACTAACATGCCACTCATCCGCTGCCTTTTAAATCTCACCCTCTCACCTAACAAATTAGATGCAAGTCCCTGAGTGATTCCCATGGAGCAAAATGGAAGGGGGAATTTGGGCTGCAGGGAAATGCACAGCATCCCATTAGGAAGAGTCCTCCCCAAGGCCAGAGAGGCTGGAGGCAGCGCGGGGAACCCAGGGGACAGGCAAAGGCAGAGGGGAGTGATCATAGAATAGTTTGGGTTGGAAGGGACCTTTAAAGGTCATCTAGTCCGACCCCTCCTGCAATTAGCAGGGACATCTTCACATCTTCAGCTAGACCAGATTGATCAGAGCACAGCCTAACCTGACTTCAAATGTTTCCAGGGATGGGGCATCCACCACCTCTCTGGGCAACGTACTGGGCTGATGGGCCAGCTGGATCAGGAGTGGGGGCACCAGGGGAGAGTGAGAGCCAGCAGTGTCAGCATGAAGACAGATTTTATTTACTGTTGTATTAATAAAACGGAGAAACGAAAACATGCCAAGGTAGCAAAAGTTTTTCTGACCCAGGGCTGGGAAGGAAGAGGACAAAAACTGTGTGCCTGGATGAGGTGTAACAGTGGTTCTTGTATCAGGACTTTGGATTAATGTGGAGGTGATGTTCTTCAGATTTATTTACTGAGAGGGCAGAGGAGCAAGGGTAGGACAGGCAGTAGGGAGGCCACAGCATGAAAAAATAGGATTAGCTTGTAACACTGTGCTTTTCTTAAAAATAGCAAAAATTAAAAAACAGGGGAATAAACAGATGCCAAATGGAAGCAGTTTGACTTCATCAGACTTCAGCACTAAAGGAAGCCAGCCCATTCCTTTACCCTTAGCAGAATTGTAAAGAAAGGGTTATGCTATAGTAAAAGAGGATTGTTTATGTGATGCAAAGATGATCAGAGGACTGGAGCACCTTCCTTATGAGACCTTATAGTGACCTCCCAGTACCTAAAGGAGGCCACGGGAAAGATGGGGAGGGATTTAGGGATAGGACAAGTGGTTTTAAAATGAAGGAGGGTAGGTTTTGATTAGATTAGATAGAAGGAAGGAATTGTTCCCTGTGAGGGTGGTGAGGCACTGGCCCAGGGTGCCCAGAGCAGCTGTGGCTGCCCCCTCCCTGGAAGGGTTCAAGGCCAGGTTGGACGGGGCTGGGAGCACCCTGGGCTGGTGGGAGATGTCCCTGCTCATGGCAGGGGGGCTGGAGCTACGTGATCTTTAAGGTCCCTCCCAGCCCAATCCATTCTGTGATTCTATATGATTCTGTGATTCTGTATGTCAAAGGTTGAAGGTGAAATGGCAGCATGTGAAGTTTAAGGTTGGGTCCTGCAATAATAATTCAGTGATAAATTCTTTGTCTCATTAAAAAAAAAATAATGCTGTACTTGAGCTTTGTATAAGTCATATAGTGCAAAACAAAATCAATCTGGAATGTGGTCTTATAGTTTTATTGTAGATTTACTTTTAGCTTTTGAGTTTCTAAAGCTGTTTTCTGCAGATCTTGAGTCATTAAGTCTCTGATAGCCATCCTCTGCTTTTGTAGCTTTGCAATGATATAGTACAACAAAAACACCTCAAGTTAGTTAGTCAAACCCTTAGGCAAGTACTGCATAAGTGACAATTTTACCAGGACGATGTGATTCATATCTCATTGTTGGAGTAAACATAAATGTATTTTACTTCAGAAATTAACTTCTTACAGGAAATATTGAAAACACTCTGACATACAATGTACTAACTTCTGCCACAATGCTGGCTTCATCTACTTCAAAAACCAATGGTAGAAAACACTCTCATCATTATAAATAATACTCTGTATCAGCTGTGAATTTATTTTCTTGTCATTCATTTTAATAACCATTTACTAGCTTATTTTCCCAATAATTTCTTAGGGTTTCTCTCATATGCAACTCCACTTCCATTCATCAACACTATTCATTAACAACACTGAAATTACATTGCAACCATTAGGCAAGAAAAATCAGCAAATCCACAGATTAAAAAATAAGTATTTGCATGAAGGAATGCAGAGAATGTTACCAACAGACAGTAAATTATATCAATTGTCTTTTCTACGAAGCACACAAAGATGAGAACTATGCATCTTTCAATTATATATGATATGCAAGACTAGCTTCAAATATCTATATGATACTTTCTTGTAGTATGAAAGAAACTGAGCTTGCAGAATAATAACAAAACCTGGAGTTCAATTTCACATTATCAGTCATTGCATAGCCTATAGTATTACTGGTGTATTGCTTTTCCTTGACAATACACAAAGTTGAAATCTATGTCATTTTCTGCTTTACTGATCCAACTGCAAGAGAACTGTGAAATTCTTCTACTTGTTATAGAAAATACTTACAATTTTTTTGTTTTCTATTAATACTGTTGAATTGTTAGTTTCGACATTCCTCAGAATCACTGTGCCATTCTGGTTTCTATAAATGAATTCATTATCTGCAAGAAAGAAAAGAAAAGAACATGAAGGAAATACAAAATTGTTTGTGTAGAACCTAATTATGGACTTCAACCAAAAGTACTGCTGGGAACTTCCCTCTAAAGAACACATATATTATTTATTCACTTATTTATTTTTGATGCAGTCATTGCTGTGATGTTAAAGTGGCTTCCAGGCTAGTCATTAAACAACATGGTTAGTGTTTGTCACATGTTTATTCTGCCACACTTTCCCAGAGCTGAATGCAAGAGGGTGGCCTGTTTTGAATGTACATACACAGCTTACTATATTGTTAGTGTAGAAAAAAAGAAAGTCGGAAACCATTCCTTATGCTTAAAGGTTTCCAAGATCCTCAGTCTCTGTAGGAGTTTAATAAGCCCAATGCTTAGAAAGTCTCTGAAAATTAAAGGCAAATCACCCTCTAACAAAGCAGACTCTGGAACCTGTGATTGTGCAAATCTTCCAACTCTGTCATTTGTCCTACAAACATACCAGAAGGAGATGCATGGAAAGAAATTGCCATTTTCACATAGAACAAGATAAATCAGCTTGTCCCTATTGCACTTTAGGACTACTCCAGCACTCAGAATATCTGGACGAGGCCAAGACTCCCGTCCGGTAGCTGCTGCACAGGTGGGAGACAGTCTCCAGCTCTCAAAGCTCAAAACCTACTTGACAGAAAGGCTGGGGAAGACATATGAAAGAAACTCCAAATGAGGGTTGAGAGGCAGGTCAAAAGTTCAGGATGAAAAAACATTATAAAAATAAAGGGTTGTCATCGTGTCAAATGTCATAAACTGAAGTTCAAGTCTGATCAGTGCTTACATGCACTGCCTCACAGATAAAGCATAAAGCATACATCCCAAGCACACTGCCATTAAAAGATTCAGCAGCCTTTCTCGACACAGGAGTAGGGTTACTGTTTTTTTCCAAACTGGCTAAACTAAGATTGAGAACTGATGGATGCTACCAAACTTCTGCCTCCAGATTCTGTTAGGAAAATAATTCCTCATTGCCTATCTTCACTATGACTACCCCAGCGTGACTACCATGATGCATCCCACAAAAGTTAGGGACATGTGAATGGTTAAACATTATCCATCTGTTTTCCTGGGATGAGTCAAAGGTGAGTTTAAATCCTACAGGATTCATACAAGGACAGATCCAGCTCATTGTAGCCACAAACAGATGTGCACTGACCGGCTCAGGGTAACCCGCTGACGACAGTACTGGGTCCAGAGACTGAGTTCTTTCAAAATTCTGGTGTACATATCTAGTATACTCTTCCTTACCCATGTTTCAGTCTTCTTTTATTTCTAAGCTGGTGATGACAATCCTCATCACAGTCATTAACCATCTCTGTAAAATGCTCTGAGAGTGCAGACAAAAAGCTTCTACACTCTACTTATTACTATAAATAAAAAGCCATTCCCTATATATCACAGTTTTACATGGAAGCATAGGAAGAAAAAAATTTTTCTGAGATTGGGATGAATCAGATTTTGTGAGGCCAAACTGTTGCTGCAATACAGATGATTCTTTCCAAACAAGATTTTAGAGACAAGATTGTCAGTGTCCAAATCACAGCATCAGCCTTTCAGACTCATAGGCAAATTTCTCAAAACATCTATTTCTTTAAATTATGGAATTAATTTTATCAACACCTTTGGTTCTGAATAAAAAATGCAGGATCTGAAATAGATTAAAGCTTGCATTTGAGACCAAAATAATGAATAGAGTTCCTGTTTGGATTTGACAGTATTAACATTTTGTCATTAGTTTTGGAGTGTTGTCCAAGGGCATGGCATTTTCATAAGCGTGTCTGATTATATTCAGGACTTTAAAATATCGCTTCATACAGTTTATGACTGAACAAACTAAGATTCTAAAACCTGGGAAAGAACTGATTGAACATAACTAGGAAAGAAGTCAAAAAAGTCAGAAGCAGCATGGAGAAGATAAATAGTGAATGCTCAAACCCAGGACACCTGCCTTTTCCAAAAATAAATATTGGGAGGCATTAAATGACACCAGCCAGTGACAAGTTCAACACAAATAAAAGGGATTATTTCTTCACACAGAAGGTAAACAAGCTGTAGAAATCACCGTTCCAGAGTAAAGCAGGTGCCAGGAGTGCATGTGGGTCCAAACAAGAATTAGACAAATGGAAGAAAAATCCATCAAAGACTGTGAGTCTTGAGGGGAAACACTTTTCAGACAGCTCTTGAACCTGTGATTGTGAGAGACTAGAAGCATGCCCTGAGTTATCATCTTGAGAATTTCACCTGCTTCTTTAACACTCCCCCTAAGCATTTGCTCTTGTCCCAGGCCAGACATCAGATGATCTCTGGGGTCTGATCCAGCACCAACTTATTTACAATTTTAACTTCCAGTTTCTGTGTCCAGATCCTTAAGAAATGCCTTTATGCAAACAATTTAGAAAATGATACAATAAAAGTTATTAATGCTTCCTACACACCTTGCCTTTATATCCTTAGGCCATTAAGGCTGAAGCATTATTTGTTATATGAGGCAAGTATACAGTCCGAATTTTTATTTTCAGGTATAACAGAAATAACAGGAATATCTAAACCGAGAGACAGAATATTACCTAATTATCAGATATTCTGAAAAAGATTACTGCTTTAATAATCACCCTATGTCAACAACACATAATGGTTTCCAGTTGCATGCTAGGATCTAGACAGAAAAATCACTTTTTGAATACAGCCAGCAAATCATTTGGATAATTGTAAGCCTCTCAGGATTTCCCAGTTACAGAAAAAAATAGCAATGAAACTCAGCTCAAAGTTCAGTACACAGGTAAAGTATCTTATTAATCTAATGAGTCTGTGGGGCTGTTAATATTTGGTAGCTGTTTCTTGAGCATTGCATGACGTGATGGAAGCTATACATTACTGCCCATAATGACATTGCTAGTAAACTTTTATTGCTCCCTATGCTCCAAAAAAACATAACATTCTAATAAACTGTGAAATTTCAAGATGATTACGTAAAAGTTGCTCCACAGTTGGAAGTAGGAGATGAAAGACTTTCCCATTATTTGTTAAAGTGTAACAAGTTCAAAATCAGGTGCTAATTTGCCGCATGTACTTCTGGTATGCATAAGGAAGAATAAATGAAGCAGTGCTGATTTGTTAGGGCTGTAAATCTTGCTATTATATTCAATACAAGCCATCAACACAGCATCTGAATTAATGAACAGAAAATTGGTCTGCTTAAGAGAAGAACAAATTGATCTGCATTATACTCCAAGCAGAACACTGTGAGGTTTAGCTGGTCTGTAAGTCATATTATCTTAGTCCTCAAAACAATCAATGAATAATATTCCTGGACTTCTGTTTTGAAATGTGTGATTTGTTCCAGTGCAAAAGCATTTATTTAAATGGGACATACCTCAATCAAAGACAAAAAGCAGTGTAGCAACCTCTGTCTGTAATGAATTCTGTCCAAGGAGCTGATGAGAATTTGCAGCCTGATTTATAGTTGTCACCACAGCTGATAAAGGTCATCACTGCATCTCATTTTTTATACTTGCCTTTCTTTGGGGCTGCTGTTCAGTGTAAATGATGCTGAAAATTGTAACTTTCAGGCATAAAGCCATTTATTCCATTTCTTCAACAGCAGAGTTCACTCCGCCAACTCCTCCCCCTCTTTCAACTTCCAGGAAATTGTCTGGTTGGTAGAATATATTACATGTCTCTGAGTGTAGACACAGATATGTAGTCACACTTACAAAAGTGACTGATTACAAAAAGCAGTGATTACTAGAAATAATGGAGCAGCCTTGGTGCTGTACAGAGTAAGCGTAAAGGAATAGAGGAGCCTTGGAAGAAATTTTTAAAAACCTGTTAAGCAGAACAGGTGAAATCAGAAAACCCAAGACCAATGATATATTTTCAGTGTCAGAGTTTCCCAGCTTCTCTGTACACATCTTTCTTAAATTCAGTCAGGAAATACACATGCAGAGAAAACAGATCTAACGACAGGGAGCTCGGGCCCCTTGCAGTCACTGAGCCCTCACCAGGAACAGCACACATGTAAGTTTGCTTAGCCTGGCAGCTCTGCCCGCTGGCTTCTTGTTTAGGGTGAAACAAGAGAAAATGATGGGATTTTTCTTAAGATAATAATGTATTACTCACTATGGCCCTGATGCAGATTTTGCGTTTTCAGACACGCTACCTGGCCAGCCCTTTCCAAGGGTTTGCCACCAGAAAAGGCACGAGGCCTATGGAAACTTGCCCACTGGTGCTGCTGTGATGCTGAACCTGGAACTGGCAGTTGAAACAAAGAAGAAAGATCATGAGGCTGTCACTGGTATCATCTGGGGACTCTGAATCATCAGTTCAATATGCAGAGGCAGCCTAAACAGCCTGGACACCATCAAGAGGGCAAGACAGCATGGTTCATTTGCCATGATATACAACAAGGAAGCACAAAAGTTCATGGACAACTGATAAACTGAGATATTAAAGGAAATAGGCAGGATATACCATCTATCATCCCTAATGCAGGGCTGCCTCACTGTGGACCTCTAAAAGGGGCTAGGCTCAAGTTCAACATAACTTCAGCTATTGCCGTGGATAGAGAGCCAACACTGGGCTCTTCTCTGAGCCAACACGACTTCTTTTTTACATTGCTATGTGTCAGACTGGGCACCAGGCTAAATAACTCATCACAGTGGACAAGAAAGTCTGGGACAATTTTGCCTCTAGAAGGACTAAGTTTGAGTGCTGGCACTGCAAAGAAGCTGAAGGAATTACAGCCAGCTATAGGAACACAGATTTGCATTAGCACCACTGCTCATGAATTTACTGCTCTACAGCTCCTCTGATGAGACTAAGTAAGTACACACTATCAGAGAGACTGGTTTATAGGATAACAGCAGGGCCTGCATGCTTTTGAGGAGAATTTTCATTATTTGTCAGAGATTAAGGAAAGCAGAAAGAAGAACTATGTGATAAAAGATGGGAAAGAA